CATTCAGCTGCCAAGTTCAAGTTCCATGCTTAGTCACCTCCAGTGACTTGTGTGGGTACAAAATGAATGGAAAATTGGATGATTAAACAGATCACCTACATACACGTACCACTCTGAACATTCAATGTACCATTCATGTACATTGTGAGGATATTCTCCAGAAACCTAGTCACAGAAAATTGTTATGAATCTACAAGTATTTAGGGCTGAGTAAATTCAAATAATTCACTATTCGAAATTTGACCTTCAATTTGATCGAATATTCGGGCTTACTGACAAGGCAGATGGTTGAGGAATAAAGCTATATAAAATCAGTTGCAATAATGCACACAATTGTACATTATAATCACAATAATAGCTTCTCATGTCTAGGAGTATCTCCAGCCATGATTTACACTGTAGCAAGATTTAACAGACGAATAATACTTCCATTCCTTTTAAATTGTTTAACCCTAACCTCCTAGGGTGTATGTACATGTAGTACTGGTTGTATTTGGAACTAAGAATCAAATTCCTAGAGTAGTCTTCAGAAATATCAGTTGTTGAAAACATTCTTTCATACTGAAAAGCATGGTGATGTGGCGTATTGCATGTGCAGTATTGTACAAACAATACTGCGTGTATTCACACATGAACAATATGCACTGTGCACATGTATGCATATGATTGAAACTAATGCCTCGTCAGCCTGTTGATGTGTGCATTGATGCATACAGTCTAATTAGGGTCCACACCGAATGCTGGTCAAAACCCTACAAGTACAGTGTACATGTACCTGTACATTCCATTGGTGTTTACTGATGCATGTACCCGTATATGTGTTTGTGTATACCTTTATGTGTACATATGTTGCAGTGAGTAATGCCATGAGGGACATGATGAGATCTTATGATTACATTTGACAGTGCATCTAACAATCAGAGATTCTAACTTGCACGTCACTATTGAATTTGTGAATTACATGTACAACTGGAAGGTACATTGTACATGTAGGCCTACCGGTACGTACAGGAAAATTGAAATTGAAATACATGGTCGATTATGCACATGCATGCTTTTGCACTTGCTCTGTACACGTACATGTACGTGTACTAGGATATGTATGCATGTGTACCATCATTACCGTGATACCAGTTGATGTGACAGAATTTATTAGTGGCATTAACATGTGCCCAGACCCAGATAATGCATGATATTGATAAAGATAACGGTATTACAGTTGAACCTCATCAATTAAGAGCTCTGTGAATACATGTACAACATTCTGTTTCCTAAGTTCTGTGTGTTGTCATTCCTGATGATAAGTCCAAAGGATTTAATGAATAAGGTTCCACTGCAAGTACATGTACCAGTGCATGTAATACTGAACTTTATCCTAACAAATACATGTACATGTAGCTGCCATTGGTATATGTATGTGACGAGAGATCCACAGAGGACAAAACTCCCAGAATTCCTTTAGTGTTTTAAAAAGTGGGATGAAAAATTGAATACATGTACATTTTCCATCTTAAAAATGACTTCCACTATTACTGCATTGTGTTTATTGTACTTTTTTGTCACTGTGAGCAAGAGTACACTTTGACATTGTACAAAGTATTGGGCCCTATGAACAGATACATGTACGGGTATGTAATTGTGAACATGTAATGCTCTGAGCATTTTTTTTATATTCACAGTTTCACAATCCACAATGACTGTGCATATACTTCCACATTTCATCAAGATTGTTCATGTTCCATGTACTTGTAGTTTGTGGACATGGTTTTTGATGACAGAGGAAGGTTTTAGATCACATCATGGAAGTTTATGCACTGATTTTGAATGTTTTCCTGGAGCCGAATATTGCTATCTCCCAATGTGGTGTTCATATCATTTTAAGGTTAAACCTGGCGTACTGGTACTCAGTAAATATGTAGGATTGTAGATACGTGTATTTTGTGTACACTTGCCACATTACATGTGTTCAGTGCATGTAAGTACAATGTAGATTTTCCTGATGCTGTTGTATCTTGACTTTTACTGGTATACCCGGACATGGTTAGTACAATTTTATGGGGAACAAGCACTGTTACACGTGCACTCACACGCAAGGTTCCAGCTGCCGTTCACCATTCTCGCCAGTTGGGGAATAATTGTAATTTTGGCTATTATTCCATTGACCTGGAAAGAAAAATTGGCGATTATTTTGCAAATTTAGACAAACCTTACCACTTGTTCGTCACCAAAATGTCATTTTTTAATTTCCAACTTTCACAAACAGTTCCCATTGGCGTTCGCATTGACAGTCCATACATGTACATGTACTGTACATTCCAGTCAATTACTCTACATCAGCCATACACGCATATCGCATGCAACCCTAAAGCTGCAGGTCGAAAATAAAAATTGATGTTGCAAGAGGTTTTCTGCAAGTTAATTCACAGAACTTGGCCTCTTATTTATGTATACATTTCCTGTGATCATGAGTTTAATTTGAGGTTGTTTTGCTTGTACTTGAAGTAAGCCTGTTTTAACAAATATCCTGCCGTGGCACAAGGTTTATCACCGGCTGATATGGATGCATCATGCACACTTACCACGCGATACACGGACATTGTTGGCCATTTTCCGTCGTGACTGTCTGAGTAGCACTGTGTGAAATGTCCATAATTCTTGTGAATATTCGACTGTAGAAATTTTTACATAGATTAACACAGGTCCTCCAAGAAGTGTGTTTGATTTCCATCGGGCATTCAAACTGTGGTCTGGTGAAAAACCTTGTGTTCTTGGTATCTGAATCATTCATATGTGGATGTATTCTTAACATGTACTTACCTTGGAAATAACTTAATAACGTGTGAAATATAGACGTATGGAAATAAATTCCAACAAACATTTGAAATATGAGATGTACTGGATGTAGTTTTTCTTAAATGTTAGTCTGTTTATAATAATTGATCCATTTGAAAAGCAGTTCACACAAATTGAAAAGAATCAGAGTGAATAACGTGTCATTGGTTTATCTTTATTGTCAAACAAATTGGCTACAAAAATACATGATGTTGGCTCGTAAATTTGTAGGATGGCTACAAAATCAAACATTTGGCTACAACTTTGGCTATTAATTGAAGTTTTCCAGCTAGAACCCTGCATACGTTTACTGATTGTTCACGGTACCAGTACCTACTTTGGGCTTTCTCTATTGAAATACAGTCAAGTCTGTTTTTTCCACTGTGGCATATTTTATAACGCCTTTATGTTGACAAAGGTCTCCTTTAAATGCCACCTGGAGTTGGCTTACTAAGTACAGACCAACAGTGACCAACTCCCCTACGTGGGTTCTCTTTCATGTACAATTGTTAAAAAACCAGCAGGTCTCTAGATGTACCTGTGGCCTGTTTGGAGCCCTTTAAAGGAATGTTTTTCTTTCACTCACCATCTCGGGTGCTTTCTGAATGCTTTTTATTGCTCTCTTGACTGAAGGCAAATTGTGTCCCGGTGGTGAATTAGGAAAAATATAGGAGGAAAAGGGGGCAAATCAATGTTTGATCAGCACCCACTGAAAAATATGCAGCGGCCACTACCGATTACATGTACAGTGTATTACTCAGAAATTCACACACTGTGCTAGTACACCCACATGCACTTGTGTCAAATATTGCATTTGACAAGGTTTGGGAATTGGAAATGATTTGGCTTTGCATGTAAAGGTTGTGTACGGTGTGATGATACAGAACAGTGAAAATGCAATACAAATACAGTATGTTTGTAGTTCAATGCAAGTATTACGGAATATGTGCGGTAGGTGGTGCATGTGTAGATTCATTGCAGCAGTCTGTTCGATTGTCCTCAAAACCACACGTGTAGGATCAAAGGATCAATTTGATTTGCACAGATCAGACTTGTTCCTTCGTTGTTTTGATGGCACAGAAGAGTAAGTTTATGTACACAATGTGCAGTGTATGTAGGTTCATGCATAGGGAAATGAAATCAAAGCTTTATTGCATGTTATCCAGTGGGAGGTTGTTGTATTTGTGTGTCCCTGTGGACCTTGGACAGCTTGAGCCAGTCTCTTCAGAGTTTGTTTCTGCATTCAATTGGGGACCTTGAACAATAGAGGACACTAAGGTCCCAGAGTGACAGAGGGTAGCCGATTGACAACTGTGTACAAAACATATGGGTGGTCTTCTAAAAAAGTTCAAGTACAAACAAAAGAGGAACAATAGGGGGTCCCCAGTTGCAGGCAAATATACATTTGTGTGTGTGTGTGTTTCCGAAATGAGGTGATATTGGGGGATGTTCTGACCAATTCAGAGTAAATCACGCAGTCAGGACAGTGTGTTGTACTTGCTCAGTGTCCAGTGCATAATCACGACAGTATTGACCGAGAAACCACTGAATAATGCACCACATGTCAGGCCCCATTTGGGGTTAAAGCCCCTGAGTCCTGTACGTGTTCATACTTGTCAGTACTCGGAGCATGGAACAAGTTCATTGTGATTGATTGTCTACTAAAGTACAGTCCCCCAATCTGCTGGTGCATCACTTGATACACTTGCATGTATATGTACCCTAGTATGTACTGGTACAGTACATGTACATGTGCATGCTCCTGTTGCTTGAGTCATGTGTACTTTTTGTTGCACTCAAGTTATGTACTTATCTGTTTTGTTGTAAGGAAACATATGGGATACATGCATACATACATGTATGAAATGTATCCCTCGATAACTTTAAGATTAGCCCTTTGGAGGCCATGCTTGGTGGTGCACTTTATGGTGGATTGCTTGTATGCTGTGTGAAGGGATTTTCCAGAACTTCAAAATATATGTTCATTGATTACATGTCTGTGACTTCTTGTAATGTTAGCTGCACTACTGTGAAATATCTGAGTTAATTACAGTTTCCTCTGTGGTCATTTAAATTTTTTCTTTCCCCAAATCTTGATGCCAAGCTAATTTCAAAATTGTTTGTGTTACTCAGAAATCAGAATTTCTTTATCTTTACTTTGTTTGCAGATTGTCTTTGTAAGGAATGCCATGCTTGGAAGCCACCCAGTCTTGAAAGTAGTTCCTAGTAGCAGCTAAGCCAAGAGTGGATAACATGTCTGTGTCATCCAAGAGATCCAACCCCATCCCTGGTGTCTCCTCAGAGGACAAAAATGGGAAAGCCTCTGATCATCCCTCGTCAAAACCAAAAGTATCTCCTGCGTCAGCTGCCAAGAAAAATGGCAGTGGTTGCCTTGCCAACGGCAGTTTGGCTGATAGCGACTCTTCCCCCATCTCCTCAATGCGAGAACGTACCCCATCAATAGAGCAGCGTAAACAAGGGGCAGCCGCCTCCTCCAAGTCAGCCAAAAGCAGAGCAGAGGCACTGTTGTCTAGGAGAGTGACTGGGTCGGCCACTTCAGTGAGAACTCAGGCTTCAGTGACTTCCAGGCCACCCACAGGCAAGGGTCCACGAAGATCTACCTCCTCAGATAAAGTGCATATAGGGCCGGAAAATGGCTGCGTCTCTGGGCCCAACCAGGACCAAGTAGCATCCAGGACTGGTGGGGCCATTCCCAAACGGGAGGCCAGCTCTGCTAGCTCTTGCTCCAGTTCTGATGGAGATGACAAGGGACATAAGGTCACCTCCTCTCTGAAGCAGCCATCAAAAAGATCAAGTCTAGCAGAGGAGAAGGGGAAGAAGATTTCAGGAGGTGGGACAGGGAGTAGGAGCTCATCAGTTTCTAAAGCAAAGACTCCTCCAAGTGTGAGAAGGAAGTCTTCCCCGCCATCATCAGAGAACAACTCAAGGTTCCAGCGACAGTCCTCCCTCAGGTCCTCAAGAAATGGATCATCTCAAACCCCTGCAAGGAAGCCATCATCAAGGACCCCATCTAATTCATCACTGGACAGTGGATTATCACCAACAAACTTTGCAGAGAGTGAGAGTCGCAGACTGAGAAATGGAGCTACCAAAAGCAGCAGTGAGGATTCCATTAGTGACACTGAGCGTAAAACAAAAAGTGCACTTTCGAGGACTCCCTCTGCAAAGAGAAAAGTCTGCATGGAGATTGTCATGGAAAAGAAAATGGTTAGTAAGTCCAGTGGGACCACAGCTGCTAAAACTGATTCTGGCTTGGGTAAGTCTCCCTCCAAACACAGCCTGTCTTCCCCCACGGATGAGAATACCATGCGTACCAGTCCAACGAAGTCCAAAAGTGCAGCCATTCTGAAGCCCAGCATTCTAGGGATCAACACTGGTGCTAGAATGAAGGTAAAAACTACTTCCAGTGACACAAACCAACGACCAAATGGTTCATCCAGTGTAGACAAAGCTCGCATTGTGAGTGCACCAGTTGCACGGAGGACTGATAACAACTTGTCCGGTGTCTCACCTTACGGTCCAGTGCGTGCCAAAGCGGGATCAATACGGTCGAGTGATCCAAAACCAAATCTGAAAAGTCCAGACCGCAGTAGGGTTACGGCAAAAGTGGCCATGCCACAGCGCTCCCGGGCCAGAGCACGTAGCATGGAACCAGTGGCCAGGAGTGCCCCCATTGTTCCTGTGACAGTAGTGGACTCCGCCCCTAATCTAGCACCCGTGCCAGCTCAGAAAGACTCAGCAACTGATACCCCTGTGATCATCCATTCTCGCAGGAGTCAAAGTGTGGAGCGCAAATCCAACAAGGACAGCTTTGTTGCAGCGCGTCGTCAAGCATGGGAAGATAAAGTATCCCTGTCCCCTGCTGACCCCAAGAAGGGACTGGTGTCCCCTGAGAAAAGGTTTCAGAGGTCAGGGGTTGGCCGAAGGTCATTGATTGATGAGAGGAAAGCGATGCTCTTTGGAGGCTTGCCAAGTGGAAGGGGTCAAGTCAAGGAGACTGTGGCTGCCAGGAAGCCTGCCATACCGGTCAAGCCAGAGGCAGTCACATCCAAACCGCCCCTTTGCAAAGGTGAGCCAAACAGTCAAATTGAGTTGTACATCAGTGAAGAGTTACCATCTGCAACATGTAAGTCTGTGGCACCAGAAGCTGTTCCTCAGACAGAGACATCAAAGCCTGCTGTCCTGCAAGAGAACACCCAGAAGATACAACCCAATGCTGTCAACTTGATGTCCAGCAAGCTGCAGTCCTCAACAGATGAGGTTGACTCCACTAGAAAGTACTCACCAAGCAAGGTAAGCCTCTAAAGATATCTTTCATGTTCCAGCATCTTATTTTTAGCTGTGCAGTACCTTTGCAAATCCCAATTTTTCCAAGCCCTGCAAAACGTACATCAGCATCGTACATGTTCATGTGGAAAGCATGTACAAGAGCGCAGCATGAATCTGTAGGCTAATTCCAGAAATGTACACAAAACAGAAATCTGGAAGTATTTTACATGAATAATGTAGGAAATATTTCTTTTTGTTTTATTTCTGTTCTTTGTGGCTGAACTCAAATAGGTTTGAGATGATAATTGCTATGTCTGTGTAATTCTTTTCGAAATTTCACGATCAATTGAACATGCATGTCTTTGTGTAGGAGAATGATATCATCAGTGTAGCCAATGACAAGATCTATTCCCAGAAGACATCTGTGATGGACAGCCAGGAGTACGGAGATGCCCTGGAGAAGTGGTCCATGCTGAAAGAGAATCAGACCATCAAGGAACTGGACAAGAAACGAGATGGTGTCAGCTTGGACAATAAGGAGGCAGAGAGTCGTCGACAGGCCCTGGTAGAGTTCAGCAACAGGTGTGTTTGATCAAAACTCTTAGGATTGCTCCACATGAACCTAGTCTTGTAGTGGAGTTTCAATTTACTAGTAAATGTTGAGCTGGTTTGACATAAGTGAAGCCAGTGGGCATTGTCAGTTGGTGGTTCAGTGATAGATTACTAAGTACTTTCGAGACTTTAGACTATCACAGTTGTATTGAAAGCTAAAGTTTTATAACCAAAAAGTTGAAAAGTGCACAGTCAAATGTTTGTAAATTTTTCTGTTCATTGTCAGTTTTGCCCTTTGTTATGCACACCTTGCCTGCCCATTACGTAGCAGTGAACTTTGTAATCCAAAAGTACTTGACTGCAACACCGTGCCTACCTGGTTCAGGGTCAGAAGAGGAGATGATTTTTCCATCTGATGTTTGTATGCTGTCAGTGTGTTTTGATTTCCTTCCTGCCAAGTGTTTCAAGTCCGGCATTTTCATGTTTTGGCCAAAGGTTAGTTGTTGAGCTGGTGTAATTCTTTGGTGCATATTTCATGGACCATTTCGTTGTTTTTGTGCTCTATGCTAATGCAAGTATTTTGTCAAAAATGTGTTACCACCACAGGGAGCTGGAAACATCAGAATACAACAAACAAATCAGTGAGCCGAGCCCAATGCAAGACTGCCCTCCGGAGGTGAAGGATGGCCATTATTACTTGCGCATTGTCAACGAGGAGCACGCTCGTATTGAGTCTCTCTGTACATTTGCCAACAAAGACTTGGAAAAGGAATTGTCAGAGGAAGGTCAGAATACACTATGGGAAAAAGATTCATAAATCCATGCTTCTAGGTGATAAACAGTTAATTGGACATTCTTTTGGGCTTAATATGTTTGACCACACAAAAACCAGGATTTTCCCAACGTGAACTGGTTCTTCTGTTTTTGAAAAAATATACATATTTGTCACATTTTTAAATTGAAGCTAACAACACAATTACTGACTGTGGAAAGTCATTTGTGCAATATCTATACAATTAGTCCGGCTGTAATTTAAATTCGCTTTACTGGATTGTTTACAAACAACATGTTCAGCTGGAATCTGTTGCTGAAGGCCATTGTGGGTTTACGAATCTCCCTGCATGAACTGGTTAAAGTGCAGTGCTTTGGCCATTGGTACTTCATGTGCTCTGCCTTGAAAAAAAAAGGAAGTTTGTTGGGATATCAGCATTGGACTCACTATTCATGATAGAAGGTGTGTCTAAATGGTACTGTTCAAGGGAGAATTTACTGGTCTTCCCTGACACTAGAAACACATTTTCACATTCATCATTTCACTGGATCCCATAAAATTTCTTCAATTCTTTTCCTTGACAGCTTGTGGTAAGCTAAGAGCTTCCATTGGCAAAGCGTCCCTCCTCACCAACAAGAAATTTAAACAGTTCCGTGGACTGTGCGAACAGAATATTGTAAGTGAACACAGGCTATATGTATAAGGCTGCATAGGCAGCTAAGCACATTGTACACTTTTAAGGCATTTGTGTACAATTCAAGCCGTGAGTCAAGTTTGAACTTTTTCCATCTCTTCTGAGAATTGTCCGTTATAAATGTGACTTTCAGATATGCAGTGAGCACTGTATTATGCATGAATTTTGAATGATGGTGATTCGTGTTGTAAATTTATTTACAAATGCATTGATACGTGAGCTTCGGGTTGAACACAGCGATGGAGATGGTTCCTAAGTGTTGGTACGTGTATGCGTTCTACTGATGGCAATGGCATCCCCATGTCAAGCTTTTCATGGTGTATTGCACTAATGTGGTGTTCAGTCCAATTGACTGAGTGTACAACCTTACTGTAACATGCTTAACTTATTGGTTCTTGCGAGGAGCAAGTCGCATCGGCATGAGCAGACAATGGAAACCTAATGCACATGTACTCACGATTTTCAAATTCACAATTTCTACTGCAACAAGATTTGTACAAGTCCCATAGGATTGGGAAGGTATGCGTATGTGTAAATTCTGCAGCGTTTTCCTGAAGAGTTGTCATCAAGTCAGTCACAGGTCAAATCACAAGTGAGGTTATCCATGTAAAGGTAGTAGAAGATGTCAAAGGAGTGAGCAGGCAGATATTTCAGTAGCCTGGATCTTGATCGAATACCTGGATGATTTGTAACTAACCACTATGACTGGCTGAATGTTTTAGTCACTTATTGAAATCACACAGATACTCCCTGCAGAGTTACTGGACAAGAACACTCTGAGATGTAAAATGAACCAAATGTCTTCCCTGTTTTCTGGACAGAATCCTGTTGAAGGAGAAGCGCTGTCAGTAACAAATTTAGACCTGACTGGGTTTTGGGATATGGTTCTGATTCAAGTGGATGACGTCAACAGCATGTTTGCCGAGATTGAAGAGTTGAGACAAAATGGATGGAGAACACCCAAACAGTCCCCGCACAAAGTCAAGGTAAAATGAGCCAATGTAGTCATCAGTCTTCAAAATCAGTAAACTCAATCTTCACAAGCTTAGTTTGAAGAAGATTATCTTCCCACAAGAAGTGTTCATTGGCAAGAAGTCTTTTTGTGTTCCGAGTATATGAGAGTGCTTTCTTTGGTCGTTTTTAAGTGTGTACAGAAAAAAGATATTAGGTAAAAAAAGGTTATATTGAAATACTGTTACTCATTTCATTGTTGTAAACCTCCAAAGTGAATAAACACTACTTTACCTTAGTTGTGGAATCGCAATGTAACAATGAAAATGTTTATCTTATCAAATGACTCTAGTCATGAGAAAGCCAAACAGAGCTTGCATACGTGGGTAGACAGTATTTGAATTTCAAACCAAGAAAGGAAATTCACTTTTTTCTTAGAAAGTTAGTTGTTTCAGCAGCGTACAAGAATAATGCAGTGATTTTTCTGTGAACTTGGAAATGCATTGTCGCCCTTTCACAGACGTCTGGTAAGAAGCCCTCACTGACTTCCCCACCCCCCTCACCGGGGATCTACAAGTCGGCGGTCCACCCCCTGACCCCCGTCGACCCCAAGGCCAAGGCGGAGAGAGAGAAGAAAGCGGCCAAAGCACGCCAAGCCAGGGAGGAGGCTCGTAAACGGCTCATGGCGGCCAAGAAGGCAGCAGCAAGGAAGAGGGTCATGTCTGAAGATGGGGAACCGCCTGTCGCAGTGGAAATATTCACTCCAGACAAGTCTTAGGTTAGGTACGTGGTAAACTTAGTTATAACTCACAAAGGTCAAAGTAATGGCAACAAAGGATGTAGCTGTTACAATCGATATGCTTGCTCATAGCAAAGACAACCCATCGGCATTCATGGGGTCAGTGTATTTGAATATATCTGTGCTAAGATACCCTTTACCAGCTGGGGCATTAATATTAATCTTGCTGAAACAAATTTCATAGAGCTCCTCAACACACCAGTCTACTGGTTCCAGAATAGTTGTACCCAGTAAAACAAGTAGCCAACTGAAATGAGATGTGTAGAATGGATTTTGCACCAAGTCATCAAGAGAAAAGAGAAAAATGAAAAAAAGAGAAAGCATTACTGTTAGGAATAGGCACTGATTTGCCATTTTCACCATGCACTCACACCCGAGTGGCTCAGTGGCAGGTCTTAACCATAAGTGCAAATTTCAGAAGTTAACAGGCTGCATGGCAAGAATATGTATGCTTTAAAAAGCTAGATAAGAATGATTATGCATGCAGCCACTGGTGCATGTATTACGCTGCTAGCATCTCAGCTGACTGGTCTGTGTTCTTCATTTTTGGCAATGTCTTTCTCTTGCCTTTGGTGAATTCAGACAACAAGGGTTGGCCAATGAAGACCCAAACTGGCCCTGTAATTACGTAAGGTATAACTTGAAAAGGCCTAATAGAGTACAACTCAGGAGTTATTGCATCACTTGGATAATTGAGATTTGGCAGAACAAATGTATATATTGACGATATTTTACAAAGATATTGTAGAAAACAGACTGTAGTTAACAGACTGTAGCTGTGTAGTCTCTAAGTACATGTAGTAATGCATGTTTTCCTCAGTTTATTATTTTTTGTAGGGTTAGATCCAGGAATTTTTGACTGAGAAATGCTTTACATGTATATTGCTGGTATTTAAATTTCAGAAACTTAACAACATATTGGCACAGTTATCAGTTTTGCTTTGGTTTTGGTTTTTGTTTTTCCTTTCTACCATGAAGGCAGTAAAGACTTGCCATATTTCCATTTTATCATGAATAGTTTGTATGCAAATTCACTGTGCACACTGTGCAGGGCCATGTATAGAATAGATGATGCACCTGTTGGCTTTGTTTCCACTGGGAAAAAATCATAATGAAATACAGTCATATATAACATGCTCCTGATTTATATTACATGCATTTTGGGTTGTTTTGGTTCCCATTTGCCTTATTTTTAAAGGCCATTAGATGTTTTGGCATGTCTTATGCTACATGTACATGTTGAATACTATACTGGTACTGATAAGAAATAGGCCACTAGACACGTCATGTGTTTGTCAAATTTGAACAAATTTGGTTGGCGTCATCAGACAGTGCGCACAGATGAAGCTGCACCTTCATATGGTTTTATAAAGTACATTTGGTGTGTGAAGAGAATTATTTAAAAGGGGAAACACTGTATAAAATCATTCTGTGAATAGTTCCATTTCCAAACCAGATTTTGGAAGAGATGAAGATCTCTGTTCGAAGTCAATTCTATTTATTACTTAAGTTGATGATATTTTTTTGTATTGGATTAGGTTTGCTATTTATTTGTTTGAAGTGCCTTAATTTGGGTTACTGTGAATGGGGATTCTGAAATACATGCAATTCAAAGTAATCAGGGGATCAGGCTTTCCTCCATGAAAAAGGACCCATGGATTTGTTTCCCCAAGATTTCTCTCAAGCTCCCTCACTGTGTGTACATATTGTTTTCCAGTTTTCTTCGATCTCTTTTGTACAGCATTGACTAGCTCTGAATTCCAGTTGCCATTAAATTTGACTTTATAGGATCTTGGCAGATAGGACAGCCCTCTGAGTTCAAAAGTCAAAATCCATCAAATGTCAATTCCCTTGTAAGTGCAAGGGCTGAATGCAAATAAATCTGTCTCTTTTTTTACTTATTCCATTTCACATTATCACTGAAGAAATGCTCAACATTTAAAACGTTAGCTATTTGGGGATGGTTGGGGGAGACATTTATATAATTTTGGAAGTGTGGATCCTTTGAAAGGAACCTGTTTTGCAAAATACTGATCCACAGCTGTTTTTTTTTCTGGCATGGGCATGTAAACCTGTGGGACATAATTTCTGTGAATTTATTTGTGATTTTCAACCCTAGTTCCATGATTTTAGGGCAACAGGTCTGTAATTTTGGAGGCAGTGGGAGATTGAATAGGTGTAGTTTTTGAAAGCTTAGTTAACTTTGCCACTGGCATTTAAAACTAATAGTTTGTGAAAAGGTTTGTGTTGCTGCTGGGTGTAATATGCAAGGCGAAGGTGGCCTGTTTGATTTCTCATCGGGTACTGAGTCTAAGCTGCACACAGGCTATGCATAGACACCCACATCACAAAGGGACAAGTTTACTCTGGAAACTAATAAAAAGTTTCCAGGGAATACTTTCACGGTAGAAAATTGGTTTCAATGGAAGAAATTCCTCACAGTCAGAAACGGAGGGTAGAAAATGATTGTCGAAGCTGGAAAGATTCTGTTAAGTTTGAAGAATCGGTGGGAATGAAAAGTCTACTTAATATTGGAAGGCATGGATGCTGTTATTTCATTACACTGTAACTGTCAATTTTATACAGCAATTTATTACATCTTGCTAATACCTCAAGGCATCACAACTGCTTTTTTTCAAGCAGTCAGGCATACTCGCGCATCAGGATGCACGGAACAAATTTTGTGCAAACTGAAAGGCACAGCTCACCTAATATATCCATTGGCTCTGCAACTGGAGGAATCAAATGAATTTGCTCTTGTCTTCTGTGTAAGTATAAATAAGGAAACTTTTTCCTTGAGTTAAATCGCGAGTGGCTTGTCTAAGTACCACACCGGTATGTACTGCCGCAGTGTCACAAAGCAGCTGGTGACGGATGCAGTGTGGAATATTGTGTTTTTTAAAATTCTGGTGACACCTTTGGTGCCATGTGTCCCCTTGGGTGTCCGAAAAGCTCCATGTCCCTTCTGTAAGATTCACAGATTGTTTATTATCCCATGTTCTCTTACATCACTCGTAAACAAAAATCAGCAAAACTATAAGAAGGCCTCTCTGCTTTGAGTAATGTGTAATATGGCCACTTTGGGTGACTCAACAAGGGTATACATGTATTTATGTTAAGTTACAAGTGCAATGTGAAGCTGATCTCTGTATTATTGCCACATGTACATGAATGTGAGCTGGTGCATGGGTTAAATGTTCCAGTATATATGTACAAGGACGTTAGAAGTTCAGGTCAAGACAGTGCAACACACGGCCTGCTGTTGGCCATCACAGGGAGAACTTGCAGCTTTGTACCTCCCAAAAATAACCCCAGAAGCTGGTCCCAAAACTACCAGCCGTTTTTGATGGCATGTTGCACTTTGTGAGGACTGCGGCACACACAGTTCTTTGATCCAGCTGATTAGTTGTGCATTTATTAGTGTGTGACAGTCGAGTGCACAGTTGCAATGGATTAACAATGCATTTTTGGGGCTGAAAATTGTAATTTGCCCAAGACTTGTGTGTAATGTACTGACAGTGCCATGTGTGAGATGTGTAATGAAAACAATATAACATGCCTTTTTGGAAGGTTGTGCAGGGTTTATGGCACAGTAAGCTTGTGATTGGCTGATTTTGGATTGCCCTTTGTTTCACGAGGACTGCGGAGCATTATCACATGTTGAAACCGTTAAATTTGATTTTGTTTTTAAAGTGGAAAGACAAAGATTATGTGAATTTGATCTTCTGGCCAGAAATGGTGGTGGAATCAACTTTCTAAAAGTTCAGTTCCAACAGAGCTTTGCATTTGGGGGGTTTTTTAAACTCTTTTAGAGTCTAGAGGTGATTCTGCTTTGCCCCTCTCAGTTGTAGGAAGACAGATGTTTATTGACATTTGGTTGGTATGTCTGAACTTCATTCACTTTTTTTGGAGGAGGGGCTGGTTCCACCGTCCCCCCCCACCACTCTTTTAGGATTAAAATCCCAATGCACAGAGGCAATTGGAAATAAAATATTGGTTACCCTTCATTCCCCGTATACATTGATATAAAGTCAAGATACATGGAAATGGTGTGAGGCTACCCTTAAGCATTGCTCCATGGTATTAACACCGACGTATATAAAAATAAAAACTTGGACTTGCACTGCCTTGGTATGAAATAGAAGCCAACCAGCAGCCGTTTTACCCAGCCGAATACAAATGCACAGGTTGGTTCGCTTCTATTGACGCCAAGGAGAACAAAGGCAGGCATTGCCAGCCAAGATTTGTATTCGGCTCAGTAAAATGGCTGCTAGTGGATTCAATGATCCCTATAAGCTGATTAAGGGCATTGCGAGTCCAGAATTTTTTATATCCATCAGTGGGTATTAATGACTGCCATCTTCAGTCTGGTTCCCTGGGGGTGAAATGGTGATTGCTGCATGAACACTCTGTATTCAGACTACATGCCCTAAATTTCCTAAATTGATCACTATTTTTCAGATAGGAAACGCATCAGTGTCAGTGGCCAATAGTCAAAAATGCCCAGTGTGGCTACGTCTGTAATCTAGCTTTGTAACATGCATTTGCATAGCATTAAAGTGAAATAGTTGTCGTATGGTGTAGGCATTTTGATGACAAAAAATGACGGTAACAGTAATACAGGAACCTCAGACAAAGCAGAATATAATGTCAAATGTTTGCATTGTTCATTGAAAGAATACTATTTGTCACCAACCAGTGTGTGTTTGTAGCATAGTTGTACAGTGTACATGCCATTCAACTGTGAGTCTGTAAATGTGTATTTACTCAGCAGTTCGTTGGAGACTTGCTTGTATATTGGTTATTTTTCTATTTTGGGGTATTCTTGGATGAAATCAAGCAACTTCCTGGAGGGGGAACGGGGTCGTTCCAATTTTCATTGTCACACTTATCTGGTGGTAAGCATTCACTCATCTCAGTTTGTAGTGAGCACTCATGTGTATAGCTCTATACATGTATTAAGATGCATTGCTGCTGAGCACACCAGAGACATTGATGTATTTTTTCCTGTTTTCTATTGCGTATATGCCAATATAATTTGCTGAGCAAGTTTCTCTTTTTCAAATTTGGTATAATCGAAATACATAGGGTACATGGTATTACCCATGAGTCTCTGGTTCTCAGCAAGCAACATATAAATCTGCCACACGTGCAGGGATGAAATATTTGTCGTAGGTGAGTTTCAACAGGCATGGGCAAAGTAGGGAAAGGTTTATAAGTCAAACTGCTGTTATAAGCAGTTTGTCAAATGTGAATTTCTGATCAAGCACTTCTAATTCCAGACCTGTTCCATGTCCTTGAATGTGAATACTATACCAGATCAGCATATGTCACCCAGCATTATTTGAAAAGTATTGTAATCCCATGCTGTACCTATTTTCAGCAGACAACAAAGGTACTTGATAATAGTGTTGAGATTTTAATATTTTGGGAACCACTCAGAAGACACTCTGTTCTGTACAGTTGGGAATTTACGGAGATGACTATTTTTTTATTTCTTGAGCAGGTTTCTTGCTAGTATTTTGGTACAGTACAAAAAATTCGCTCCTTGTCATCAGCACATGTACACTTTGAACTAGAAAGTAGTATACATATGTAGCTTAGTAATCAGACATCAGTCGTATTAGATGAGACTATAGAATGTGTAAGTACTTGCCACACACACATTTGTTTCCCACTATCTTCTGGAAGTGCCACCTTACTGGTGCTTTCTGAGGATAAAATTCTGTGAACAGGCACATTCTCTTCCAATCGGAGAGTTTCCTGCCTGAATTCCTTTGTGCATGTCAGTGAAACTCTGGATCAGTCTGACAGTGTCAGACAAAAGACAACTTTGTTCATGGAGATGCTATCTTGGAATGTTCAAAATCATAAGTCCTGTGGGGCATGCATGCTGACGTGATGTACAAGCAGGTACGTATACATATACATTAAAGGGCCGAATTGTTGAAGGCCATCTGTGAAGTTTTCCATTGAGCACAGGTTTGAGAAACCAGTCCAAGATGGCTGCTCTCAGTGTGAAGAAAATTGGTTTGGGGGTTTCGTTGCACATGCGATAAATGCAATGTTTCATCTTGTTCTTTTTTTTTTAATAAATGAATAATGTACATATTAATATTGCACACAGATCATCTCCAAAGTACATGTACAGTGGTAAAATACTTGTATGCTGCAGCCCGGCAATCAGATGTATTTTGGAGCAACTTTTGCCACTGGTGTATTTGTGTACAAGTAGACTGCATTTTTCTTTTCGTATCAAACTTTTACGCAAATGAATTAGAAGTAAATATTGTAAGTGACACGGACTAGGCTGTAGGCACTAAATATAAGAACTAAATTCATTACATGTGTTTCTGCAAGCAGATATAATCAGTTTTCGAGCAGGGGTCAACCAATGCCCGTTTGCTTTGGTTGAAATAAAAAGATTTGAATGCACTTGCACGATACATTTGTTTTTTTTAGGAAGGGGGTGTGGGTTAATAAGGTGAACAGAGCTAGTGTGACAGTTACCAGTTAGAAATTTTTACACTTGAGCCTACAAACTATTTGAAAATATTCTGCTAAGTCTTTCATTCTGTATCTTTGGAAGGTCTTGCCTTTAAAACAATCTTTCAACCTTAATGTGTACAAAGATTGAAATGATAGTTCAAAGAAAGAATTTTCAGGTGGCTAAAAGGGTCCACATGATTTTATAAATAGAATAAATGATTACTTTTTCTGATAACAGCTTGTCAGCAGAGTAATTAATGGGAAATAAACATTGGATATGCATTTCTCCAAAAAAAAAAAGTATGGACCATCTTAATGTCCACCATTATGTATTTGTAAGGAATATTTATATGAGCATTCCTTCAAAAATTGTTTTCTATGAATTTTGACTAACAGCCATTTCCAGAAGTCCTCTGTCAAAAAATTGCCAAGGATGAAGAGTCATGTTGGTCTCAGTATTTAGAAAAAACTGTTAAAACCATTTTTGTTCTTTGTGCCCACAAATCGCTATTTCCAATTTAGGTGTGCTAGGCAACAGTTTTTGTTAAAATTTAAAGGCCAGCACAGCAGTGGCAGCAAGTTTTGGTCTTTTACTTTGCATGTTTTTTTTTCATGTAGATTGTATTTAAGGAAAAAATGTTAACAGTCGCATGGTAATATGTAATAAATATCACGGATATTCTGCCAAGATTTGGTTACAAGTTGTCTTTGTGTATGCGTACAAGTGGAGTGTGTGTTGAACAATGAAAATGCCATCAAAAGTGGGACCCAATCAACCTCTTTTGTGTTCAGTTTTTACAGACATTAGCAGTCAATCCCTTATTTCACCAACCCTGGATTTTCCTACCCTGGATTTTTCTACCCTGGTATAATATTGCCAGATATGTCCCCCATCCACAAAATGCAGTCGGTTGTGTATACCTTAATTAAAAACAGAAGCACCAATAAATTACCATCTGTCAACAAATTACACACAAGATATTTACTGCCCTGTAAATTACTGGTGCCAGGCACTTTGTGCAATAAAAGCCATTACTTCATTTTGTGGTCAAAAAGGCAGCAGTGTACATGTACAAGAATTCTTGTGTATGTTTTGCCCTTTCTTGTCAAAGTCTTCAAGACAACACATTACTACATAATATAGAACAGCTATAGGCAAGCTCATCTGGATCCTTGAACAGCTCAAGGTTTCCAAGAGTTTTATTTTCACTGCGTTACAAATGATGGACAAGTAAACACACATATTGGGAGAAAAATTTTAAAAACTGCAAAATGCCCAGACATTTTATGGATTTGCAAAACAAGTCATGCGTGAGAATACTAGCCCAATCAACTAGTGCTTTGGCAGAATGCCAGCCGTAGCTTCAATACCACACAATCCATACAAGCATTATACATGAATACAAAAACAAGTGCAATAGCAAATGCTGAGGACGCATGAGGATTGCTATATGAGATACTAACATGTCATACTCAATGCAACAGCAGTTTTTCAATAAAGCAATTATTTAACTAAGGTAAAAACCACTCATTTCAACCTCAGTACATTTCTCAATATTTAATTGCTTCAAAAATAGCATATCATAACTTGTTTCTTCCAATCTGTAATGAATACAGAAATACTGTAGTATTTATATATCTTATTGAAGAGATAGTAAATGAATTCAGATGACTAAGTCTGTAATTAAGAGTAAACTGCAAACACCAGATACACTTTGCTTCCTGAAGGTCCATTTTACAAACCTGTGCTGACATTGTACAGGGTACAAAAAGCTTTAGGTCCAACAGTCTTGCGTAGGAGAGTATCAAGAATAACGTGAGTATAAAATGAGGGTCTTTCCTTTGATACTGGTGACATGAATATACTTGACTGCAAATCTGTAAGTCCAGCCTGCAAGTGTGACCACTTCTCCATCTGGTTTGTGACGGTCATACACAGCACTCATCACTGATTTTGAGCTCCCATTGGATGAGCACTCGAGTTGCGTGTTACCCCCAGGTTCCATGGTTCCATGTAACTCTATGGGCAGTGGGCGTGGTTTAAACTGAAGTGGCATTACAATTATGAACCGGGTAAGAGAAATTCATAGCACAGTATCACATTAAACATCCACATGGGACAAATTTCATAGAGCTGCTTAAGCACAAAACTTGCTTAAGCGTGACAAAACCTTGCTTGATAACTCGGGTAACCAGCCAAAACTCCATGTTATGTTGATTGTGTCGGGATCGTATTCAGCTGTCTTGACAATGACAGTCAGATAGAGTCTGGTTTGAGCATTGTTTTTTTAAGCAAGGTTTTTTCAAGCTTCAGCAGATTTCGTGCTTAATTTAAGCAGCTCTATGAAATTGGCCCCTTGACATCTTACAATGGTTGTCCTGTAGTTAATCACAGACATAGTATATCTCTCTCGATAGAGTCACTGTTTGCATGACCTGCCACACAAACACAAATATGAGCTTAAACTGCATGTGTCCAAAAATGTGAAAAACTAGACAATCCATGTGCACTGCCATAAATCACTCCTGCTGAGTGCACACAAACTGAAGGATGTAATATGGGCATTGGCCACAAGTCATGCTACAGCGCCCCCATCACACTGAAATTTTGCATTCATAGAACCCCATCATAGTTCAACAGTTCTACGGGCCAACACTGGTTCCTTCAATTGACCAACATTTCAGAGAGACTATCAATAAACTGCATTGAAAATTCATGCAAATAGGACAACTGCGCTTGCTAAGTCATGTGACCAATAGAGTACTGAAATGCGACACCATTTAGAACCAGGAATTGCTGTACAAACGAATGGAGTGTGTGGGCATGTTGGTTTACACAATGGTTCTTGCGCTATTGCCTTTAACACACATAATACATGCAATTCACAATAGGGCGCCTCCAAGAGTTTGCAACACACTGGCCAATCACAACCCGCAAAATCCGTCGACCCTTTCCAAACATGCATTGGGTTGACAGATTTTGCACATTGTGATTGGCCAATGCGTTGCAAACTCTTGGAGGCGCCCTATTGTGAAACACCTGTATTGTTCATGTGACATATTCACTTAAGGACTCTACAGTGGGTATCAAACATCAGCAACCATAGCATCTTCCCATAGCAAAGTAATTTATAAGTATTATTTAGCAAAAATAAAGCCAACGGTCGGTACAGTGCCGACATTACAGACATGCTGAGTACCCTACTGACAACTGGCTTTATTTTTGGTAAACAACACTGGCTATGGGAGGGCACCATTATTTTTGAAGTTTAATACTCACTATAGGTCACATGACTTAGCAGGTGCAAACAATCTATTAACCCTCCTTTGGTTTTACAGCACAAATGTGCACAAATGCCCACAGTCAC